CTTGGCCATAACTGACTACGTTGCAACAGACAACACAGTGGTCACTTCCTGGAAAGCGTGGGCCAACTGCAGCTGTGGCCAAATGGCCATCGTTGGAGAATATTAGGTCTGGAGTATGTAGGCCACGAGTGGGACTACGTACAATTTGGGACCAGCCCTCCACACCAAGTTGCGCAAGCAGCGCGGTGTAACGGACGGGTCCAATGGCGGAGGACCAGGAGATTTCCGGCAGGTTGAAGTTACCCAACAGAAATTTAGACGGATGAGGAAGGGCATGCGCAGTGGAGATGATACGGGAAAGATCAGCAATAGAGGAGGGGAGGGGGCAGGTGGTAAATAGATACAACCTACTAGTCCAGGTCGTTTTGTCTGTTCTACGGATACCTAAATGGTCTCTGGAATCCCTTCCAGAGAAGATTCGTCAAACGGGTTTCCGCGAAGTTCTGACTTAGAATAAATGGCACAGCCACCGCCCCTTGAGATTTTCCTATCGGAGCGGTAAGTATCATAGCCAGCGATTGAGATGGCCGAGTCAGGATTTTCAGCTGTGAGCCATGTTTCAGTCACACAGATAATACTCGGTCGTGCAATGGCTCCAATTGCTCGGAGATTATGGATTTTGGACACTAATGAGCGGGTATTGAACAACATTATTGACAAGCTCATTGGTGAGCAGACGGTACTAAGTAGGAACTTAGTAACCTTACTCACAGTGGGGTTCTGCATTGGGGGGGCCAGGTACCTAGTGGTTAGGTTAAATGAAACAGGGTCCGGAGTCTGGTAGGGAGTATTCAGTACTGTTTGTAGATGGGTAAATCGTCGTTGAAATGGGTTTGAACCCACGGCAGGAGGTACTGTATCAGGCTCAGTATAGGGTACGGACTGATTTTGGGAGGAGGGCGTGCAGTTGGATGTAGAGTTGTCGGCCGTGTCATTTTCTGAATCGACAGGTATGGAGGGGGGTAGGATGAGAAAGGGGGGCGGCGGTTGTGAAGGGATGGGTGGTTGCCGAAAATGCTGTTCAGGCGGGAAGAAAATTGGTTGCTTGGGTAGTGGAAACGGATGAGGGACGGAGCTGGTCATGGGTCGTTGTAGATACGAGCTTCTTCCAGGCACGTGGTATGTATGGCTTGATGTGCTTTTTAAGTGTTGTAAAGGTGGGGCTACGCTTGACTTCGGAGGAGGCAGAGGAGGTCGCTTCCGAGTAGGGATCTCAGGAAGGTGAAGAGTGGGAGTTCGTGGATTTTGCACAGGCAGGGGCGTTACAATATCAGGCTTTGATAGTAGGTGTTTGAGCTGGGACTGGTGAAATTGTTTGCTTCAAATCAGATAATAGTATGCCTCAGTGGGATTATGCTAGCAAGCTTATACTCAGTGGGGCCTAATCAAGCTGTAAAGAGTTAGGTGGGTGGTTGGGTGCGATTGGAAATGAGGTATCTAAAATAGGTAGCTAAATGCTATACTAGAGTAAGTAAAGCGCTACTTGGGGCTAGGGTACAAAAAGAAATTTTACGACTCCTGACCTTGGTCCTACAACTTACACATCTCTTCGGCATCAACATAGCTGCGCTAAATAATGCATACCATTGCCGAATGCCCGTATCAATTTGTCGACGTGCACATGGCTTCCTCATTATCACCAACGGGACTAAGCGCGCAGGTAGCGACTTAACCTTTGTGAGATTAGGACTCCAGCTTCAGCATGAACACCGATCGCGAAGTGTGGACAACGGGATTTCTTAAGCACTTGGTGCGTTGGCCTCCATGGCTTCGGTTATTTACGCATTTTCATCGATTTCTCAGACCCACACGTGTTATAAGTGATTATGCGTTTTTCTTTCAGGAACCGTGCCGAGTGACAGCGACTTCTTGAAACTGATAGCTTGATTGATTACACAAGAAGTTGTACCGGTGAAACTAATAGATAGAAACAAAAATCACCACGGGGTGATGGTGTAGTTTTCAGGCATGAGTGCCACATTGACATCCGTTAGTACGAAGGACAGTTGTTAGTCGACAGATCAGTCTTTCATGTATTGCTGTGGACCCGTAGTCAGCTGAGGGCATGTGTACGAGCCAGGCAGTTACTGTAAGTAGCCAAGGAGCGCGAAATCGTGTACAGTTATGAATGTGAAGGACCTTTGTCAGCCACTGGGTTACGTTACCGTAAACAGTTATGGCTCCATGATTAACGCCGCACATAGACACGAGTTTAGAAGTTAAGATAAGTACCCGAGGTGAGTGACAACGGATACTGTTATCCTGGAGACCGACGATGGATGCCTTTAGCCGTCACCACTATATTTGCGCCTCTGGACGTATTCCACCTATGGACGACTGATATCAGTTGTCAGTTGATGTTGCATATCCACAAGCTAGTTATGTGTATATGGGAAAAGGGATTTTCCAGGAAGACGATCCTACCACCGCCCCTGAACAATTTGAGCACTCATAATGAGCAACTCCACGTGAAAAGTGTTGCGCCAAAGTTTGCCAAACAAATTCTTCCCATTTGTTAAAATTGAGGAGTAAATCGCAAACCCACGTCACCGACCAATTTTCTTGAATAGTGTTCGCGTTGGATGTTCTGCGGATGTTGTCTCACGCTTAAAGACACCATAGAACCCTCAAAATGGTAAAGTACGGTGTCGTGATCTCTCTCGTAAACAGATGACAAAATGCAAATTGGTATTGGTCTAAGCCATTGAAATTTCGCTCACATAAACAAAATCTTATGAGCAAAATATCGCCGAAAGGTGCAGATGGGTTAGACTAAATCCATGTAAAAGTCGCAAATTCGGAAAATAAATTTTCGGTGAAAATAATTTGGTTTGGCTCTAGTGAGCGGTGCCACAACAAGGTGCACACCTACTAACGGCCTCTAACTGACTTGGAATTCATCAACTCTTTCACAAGATCAACCCATTCTGCGCGTTGAGTCCCAACGTAGTCCAAGCAGGGATCCTGAATGAAACGTTGTTTGTGCTGGCTAATTATTTGTACATGGTATTTCGCCAGTCGCTTGATGAAGGCCACCTTCCCTCTACTTGTAGGTAAGTGATTGTCACGCAAATTTACAGGGCATGTGACCGACCATCGCCTGGCAGCTACAGGCCTATAGGCCTCATCAGCGTGCCGTACAAGATAATGGGACGTATTCGGAAGCAAGCCTTAAATCCGGGGACTATGAAAGGCGTCCCGCAGTGCTCGAAATGTCTCTTCTGTAGTAGCATCCCTCCGAAGGGATCCACTTTTNACAAGGTTTCGCCGGCAGGTTTTGCACCTTTACCCAGCAAACTCACGCCGGGGATATGGCAAGAAAATTTTCAAGCTAAGAGCCCACGCTTCATAAGTTAAACTTTTCCCGTTTCGGGTAGTAGCTGCATAGAATAACCTTCCTCCGTTGATTTTCCATACCTCTTCTAGAACTCAGTGCAAAGCATTATTAGGCACTTATTTTTGTGAGTCCTCGATCTGACAACTTTATTTCCCCCCCCACAACCCCCCCCCCGAGAATTTAAGAGCAGTGTTACACCTTTTTGGGGTTGTGCCTTTCAGGAGAACGGCAGCTGCTTAACAACAAGAATAAAACCGACCCGGGACACTTGGGCGAAAGTCTCTATCCTGCGTATCAATTCGTGAATCCGTGAATAATTTGAACTGGTGTGGACATGCTTTTATTGAACCAAAGTTCCCTGTCCCAATTTCGTCATAGAAACGTGCGCTACGCCTGGTCGTGCGAAATCGAATTTCTCGAGTGGAAAATGGCCTCAGAATTAGAACTAGATGATAAAAGAATTGAGTTCCTGGCTGACTATGTTCTCAACTCAAATAAACTGAAACCCGACAAGTGGATGAAGCTATGGAACGTCGAAGAGATGAGAAAAACCATTATCAACTTCTTTGAAAATGCGGATCAAATGCATTTGTTCATTCTTCTAACGCCAGCAGGAGCCCTGCAGGCTCAGACGCAATTTCCTTCTAGCTCTAAAGCGAAATCTTGCTACTTTATGAAGAAAGAAAAGTGTTCTATAAAGAAAGATTCTCCTGTTAATAAACTCCTAAATTACGGTGATTTGTCTTCGAATCCGTTAGAAAATTTTTCTGCTTTTGTTGACGAGGTAAGGAACTATCAGCGCCCACAATCTTTAAGGTTCTTCTACCCCTCGTAAGCAACAAAGAAAACTATATGTCGTGGCCAGACATTATTTATGATGACATTGTCAAACATGCTCGTGGGTTGAAGCGCCAAACGGATATAATTGTTGGACAGGCAAAAGGGAAAACATTCTTGCCTTTATTGACAGATTCCGGAGATGTCTCCTCTGGTAAAAAAGAAAGGTAATCCACCTATCTGACCGGATATTTTCCTCTTGAGAGTCCACTTGAAATGCCTTTATTATCCGTATTGTCAGTATTGTACCTGACTTTGTACTGAACCCGAGCCTCATTATTCTGGGGTCCCAGTAAGGATGGAACCTGGGGGGTCGTCCGTTAACACTAAACGATCGAAAGGCCGCAGAGAAATGTGGATTGTGTTAAAAGGCTACTAGTAAATGCGGACAATGCGTAGTTTGTCCAAAAATATGTACATCCAGCAGATGAATATGCAAGAGACCTGACAAATTGGAAGACGGATCTAAGTGCGAATAATTCGGAACCAGCTTAAATACAGAAAATGAGGTACTTGTCTCCACTTGGCAGCATCTCCATTTGCTCATAACCCGCTATGCTGTTTGTCCCAGACTGAGATTCCTCTATTGTTCTGCTTCGTGACACTTTCAGTAAAGCTCACTGAAGGCGCAGTGGTACGAATAGTGCCTTGAGGATTAAATCTGGAAACCCGATACCTTCGCTTACCATCCTTATGAAAATGACACCCAGAAGTGCTGCAACTCTCTTGTTGACATTTGCACAACTACACCCGAGCAATTTAATTTTTTACTGAACCCTTTAGGAAAAAGCGGCGCACTGAAGACAGTGGCGCAAAAAGCTAGGGTTTTGCCAAGACAGTTGCGCTCCTAGAAACAATTAAATACCATGTTTGTATTTCTCGTGGGAAACGAGCCAATTTTTTGACACGACAACCTTGTATATCAAAACATCCCCCTAGGAAGCGTACATTATACAAAAATGCATTTTCAAACATCCCTTCTGATAGCTTTTAATCTATTATATGTATTTAGGGACGCCGAAATGGACCAAAGTAAGAAAGTTTCCATTCAGCTTTGAAGTGCTAGGCTCATTTTGATCGAATATCATTGAACTATCACTTAGACTGAGTGATCTCTCTCAAACAAGACGGCTTCTGTGTCTTTCACTCTCAAGATTTTGATTGTACCTGACATAAGTCCTAAAATCTGTTAAGAAGTGTGTAGAAAGGACATTCAGGAGACACTTTGGCCGCGCTTTGCTTCAAGAAACATTTTGTAGATAAGTTTGATTATTTGCTCGACTTTCCGGTCTAAGACATAAATAGGGTTTTTCTTGAGTAGTACCTAAAGATATCTCTTAATGTACACGTCATAACCTTCATGACTGATAACAAGAGATAGTGTGTTTCAGTATTGCTGCTGTGCAGATTTTGATATTTCGTGTACTATCGGCCCATTTATCTTAGTGTAATTTGTTTAAAAGCATGTTATTTGAAGTGGCCAGTTGCAATATACCTGATACTTATGTCACATTGTTGGCCAGCCAAAGATCTTGAACCTCTTTGCTTGTCATTTCTTTTCTGTTGGGATACGATAACATTTTTGACTGGGTTGAAAGAAACCTTGTTTTGTATTTTACCAAGCAAAGTTTTCAGTTAAATAAGGTATAGAAAATTCCAGCACCCGAGTTGACAGTGTTTTTTGTACAGGCCCTTAATAAGAACAGCAATTAAACGTTTTCAAATTTTTAGATGACGAAACCCCGGGAAGCTCAATTACGCTAAAAAAAATTGATAAAACGTTTAAATCTCTATGATATAACAAAACTATGTCAGGTATAAAGCCAGTCGCACAAGAAAATCCGACTTACTTTTAAGGGTGCTTCAAACAGGGCCTTGTGGTATTACCACAAAACCGCTCAAGCTAATCAGAGTTGTACAAAAAGCACATTTATTAGCATTTCCTGATTTTTTTAACAGAATAAAGCCATCTTCCTAACTCTTCTTAACTTTCTGATGACAAAATAAACCTTTGAAGAACCACTCGCTTCTGGTGACTTTTAATCTGTAAAATTTAATTGTATAATCATTTGCACCTTCTTATAATTTGCTTCGCTGCGGTTGTATGGTATAATTTTTTACACAATGAATTATTTCGCTGCCTCCTAGTACTAACACGTTTGGTAGTCCTTGTCCCTAAATTAAACAGCTTGGATTTGCAAAGCGTATAAAAATAGCCCAACACTCTCAATTTTCTTTTTTTATTTTTTAACTTGATATCATTGATTCTAACAGACCAGTTGATAACCCTGCTAGGATACAAGATTCTACCTACAACGACACTGCTTTCGACGAAAGATCCGTCCTTCGGACTTAGCACTATCTCACAATAACAGCATGCTGCACATCACTGATAGCGTGTAAGTGAATGTGATATACACTAACTTTCATAAAACATTTGAGTCACACGGTCCCGAAAAATGATGAGCCGCTTGATGGATATATAAAGGCCTGATCTGGAGGAATTTTTGTTATCTCAGTAGCCATTCCATAGCCGTTTTATTTTTAACGACCAGAAAACCTGTTTCGGTGTGGTTTTTGTTTCATTCCTGTGGTTTTTACCAATTTAGGTTTTCTTGATGAACTTTCCGGGAAGATTCCTTCATTTCATGTTCTTTGTTATGACTCTAACTTTTATAGCAGCACTTAAACAACCGAAAGTTACCTCGGCCTGTGAAAAATTCTGCAGACTACCCGTCGCCATTTCACGGAGTGTCGCTTCTCTTTTGTTGAGAACAGGTTTATATGTCGCTCTTCTGTTTTCCCACCTATCAGCAATATCCACCATGCTGTTGTAATCGGCCCACCCTGCCGGGAGAAAAACGAAGTAGAAATCAGCACTCAGGCTAGGCTTATTCATTCTGCACTCTGTAGGGAAGCTGAAAACACCACCAACCTAAAACCAGATCTCCCTGATTATTTCTACATTTGTCCTGCACGAGTTTTGCACCCGCGACTTAAGGTTACTTTTTGCGAAAATCTGTTGGCTAGGCATACAGAAAAACGAGATACTTTTCGGGATCTTTTATGCAACTAGCCAATAAAGACTGAATTTTGCGCAGATTTCTCAAATCACACTTTCATATTTCTTTTTCGTTTATGCCATGTTTTGCTGTGGTTGAGGTAGGAACTTGCACCTTACTATCAGTTATACCCGGAATTTATTCAAATGATATTTTTCGAATTGTCATTTCAATGGCGTACCGACGTTATTATGTGTGATTCTGGGCACAAATCTCTCCATAATTCGTCGAAGTGCGTTCTGGTAGTTCCAATAGTTGTTTCGAAAGACACATTCAAGGACACTTCAAATTCTACTTCAGAATTGAAATTGCGACTGATTGCGTTGTTGTATTGCAACAGATTCACTATACTTGAGGCTTTACTGTCTCACAAAAAGCAAAATTTGGCATGATGGGTACTGATATAGAGTATAAAGTATGAAGTATTCAGAATTAATTACTGAAAGACTTCAGTCTGATTGTTGCAAAGCCTTATGTCTCCATAACTGCTGATTGCACTTATGGGGTTCTTGAAAATTAGTCTCCTGGTAGAGAGCAGTTTAATGCTCTTAAGAGCAGTCTTGGCAACTAAATGCCTAAGAACACTAAATCTCATCATGGAGAGATACTTCTTATAAGAGTAAACGCTACACATTTGGTTTATCATTCAGCTGTTTTATTTTCCGCACTAATAGTTTGAAGTATACGAAGTGCTAAAAACGTTATTTTAAAAATGCTCCCAAAATTTTGAAAGTTTACAAGAATTTTCTTTTTAGGAGACCAGTCTAGGTGGCTTTCGAATTTATGCAGTTCCGTGGGTTACCTGCAAACGATCAAATACCTTTCAACTAATATGCGATGACCCTTTCCTCCGAAAGATCATAGAAAAGAGCCAAAGTTAAGTAGATTAAGGGACTGACTTCTACGCCGATCCAATACTGTATTATGCTGGGGTCCTAAGGCATTTTGTAACTGATGCTGCAGTGATGCATATTTTATGGGCCAGGTTGGAATCCACCTGAATGACTTGAGTTAGGCGGTTGGATTGGCAAAATAAACGTTTGTGTAGAGCAGACAATGCCTTGAGTTGCCAATGAGTATGCATAAAAGTGGGTTATGTGGCACATGCAGGTTAGTGTTGATGTTATTAGATAATAAGATGACAGAATAACGTGAGTTTTTGCTCCGCGGCTTTAGTAACTTGGGCTAAACATACACGTCTTGAGAGTTGTCAGGCTGTAAGCACAATAGAAATATAGGCTAAAGGTAGTGTTTCTGAAAGCTTTTTGTTCGTTTCAATGAGGTTCAGTGCCAAAGAAGTGGGTTTATTTTGCAGCTGGTTATATTAAGGACTAATGGAATGCCTTTTTTGAAAAATACCCCTAATGCTGGTGTAATTTTGTTGAAATGACTTCTTAAACATATGTCTCTAGCAGACTACGCTCTTAGTGAATATTAGCTCTTTAACCTGGAGAGGGCTTTAGCCAATCTCCGGGAAAACCTGGCGTCAAAAATTCCATGATTCTTCAAGAGAAAAGAATTTCAGCTGCTTTTAGATTTTTTGCCGAATTTCAAAAAATCATTTTTTCCCGTGATTAGTGTATTTTAAACATCCTCCGCTTCTTAAGGGTAGATTTGGGCGTCAAACGTAGGCATCGGAATTTTCGCCATTCTATATCATTTCAGCATGCATGATGTGCACATCATTTCAGCATGCAGACGTGATGTGCACTGGAAGGAACTGTCTATAATAGTAGACTTTTGTTACCAAGTCCGGACGAAAAAGAAAATAACACTTCTTTTAGGCGGTGGCGCCAGCCGGACTTCGTTGAAAGCTCTTCTTCAAGGCAGGTCGTGTTCCTATCACTAAAGTTTTGACAGACCAACTCAAAGCTTGAAGTAAAATATACTAGACGCTCATAGACAAAAATACATGCCACCTAAACTCGCATGAACTGCAAGTATGTTATCATTGGTTGTCAATCAACCACTTTATCGAGCCATTTACTTTACATAAAAGCCCAACACTGTCTTTTATCGATGTTCATATCTTTTTCGTGGGGATTGGCAGCCGAATTACCTCATGGCTGAGAGTTGAACTTTTTTCGTGTATTAAACATCGTAGGACAGGGTAGGTACGAGGAGCAGTTAAGGCAAACGTCAAGCTGACAAATGAAGGTTTGAGTTAAAACTGATGTTTGCACCAATAAACCTGCATAAACTTCTTAACTCAATGCAACAACATTTTTCTACACAGTTGTTTCGCTGACACTAAAGGGACTACTTTGAAAAGAAGGTAAAAATAGGGATAAAGTTTGACCAAATGGCTTATAGGTATCTAGACTCTTCAAGCCGTGGCCCTTTTATTTCCGAATATTTTGGCTTGGATAATCTGTCCAAGAATTTCTTAGGATTTAGATTCATTAAACAGGGATAAACCAACCCACGGTTAACATTCTGTACCAAAACGCTAGTTTATATCTGTCGTCGCAAAATTCTTTTGTTGCGGTCTTTCGCAAAACGTTGGCAAAAACCCATCTGCTGCTCACCATCAGATTTTCATCCTTTGGAGTTTCTCAGGAAGCCCCAGTACTTAAGTTTTTATCAAAACTATGATAAGCATTTGGTGAGAGATTCAACTAAGATTCAGCTGAGTTTTATGTTAACACCAATTTAGTTTTCCAAAAGGGGGGTTTAAAGTGTTGTTCCTCTGAGTTCATACTATATATATATATATGGTTGAGGAAAAACTTTGAGGATACGTTGCCATTTTTGGGTGGATTCACTTTGTAAGTGTATTTTCAAATGTATGTCAGATTAACTTTTTGCTCAAAGGTAAATTTAAATAAATTTGAGTTCAACACTTATTTAAACCCTGAGATAATGTGAACTTAGGATTAAATTAACTTTTCACTAAGTAAGGTGCATTACATCAGCCTCCTTTGAGCCCGGCCATGTGCTAGCCGAGAAAATTGGCCCAAAAATTAGGCGGTTGCTGTGTAGCCCATTTAGTTGGACAGCATCTTTTCATCTCAGTTTGCTTGGTGATTTTTTCGTTTGAGCGCTAGTCTTTTGATAAGTAGATGATCATTAAGTCCCTTTCCATAGTTCATCATCACACGCGAAATCCTTTTGAAAACTCACAGGCAGTGCAGACAATATCACGGTAATTTACAGCAGAATCAAATAAGAAAACAGGTACATCATTGTCATCAGGTTATGTCCGTTTAGCTGAAAAACACCTTTTAATTGAAAGAAGGAAGAAATGGTGGAAGAGGATTAACTTGTGGCTATCCCACCACAAAATTCACAGGCACCTACGCCTGCAGCAGTCAGTCTTGACTGCATGATTGCCGCTGTCATAGGTAAGCCGCCGGATTGTCTAATGTCTTCAAGAATATGGAGGGTAACATGAACCTCATCCTGAAGAGAAAACAGCGCCAACAGCACCCGGAGTTTATATAACCTTTACTTCCTTTTACCCTGTCAATTTTTGTCTACCTCTAGGTTTTCATTACTCCAAATATGGACGAGAAACAGCACTCTTCCTGGCAAGTGGCAAATAGACATGCGTAATACATGACCCAGTGACCTTAGCTTGCAGCGATTGATGCACTGTTGATACACTTGTTACACGATGTTTTACCAAAATCCTGTCGCCTGACCACCTCATTGCAAATTTGCCAATTTTAGCTGATTCCAGCGACGATTCTGAGACATCAGCTACTATGGAAATGACGAAGTCTCCGATTCTCCGTCTGGAGTAGCTAAGTCTTGCAACCGTACGACAATACAGCTCGCACGTTATTCTGGCACACGAGTCCTCTGAAACCCAGAAAACAGCTTTTTAGCGCCACAGTGATTTCACACTGGCAAAACGCAATTCTAGCCTTCGAAGTTTTTGCGTTGAGTTTGTCTGCCACATCACCATCGAAGCCAATGGAAATTCCGATCTTCCTATGGTGTTACACAACATCTTTTGTCATTCCTTTGATCCATAGAAGCATGCTCAATGACCGTGAATCCTACAGCATGACTTTGCAGGTTATGGGGCAAAGCACAAAAAACCGGATGGTCTCTGTCAGCTTCTTGGGTGACGCTCGAACTTCCTGAATATTCCAGGTTGATAGAATCTTCGCTCGGAGAGATCTGAACACTAGGGTTTTGGATACCTTGCACTGTTTATCTCATTATCGCATTGGCAACGGAATTAAAAATAAAGTCGTGGTCGCTTAACAATGCCATTTTTTGGTGCCTAGCTACCATGTCGCCAGAAGGAAACATGAGAACTGCGATACTTTCAGGTCCCTTAAGCCCAAATAGGAATGGGCGAGATGCAGTGATTGGGCTCGAACTACGGGCTTCCCGGTCAGTTCATGCCTTAAAAGGTTAAGATATCTTGAGCTCAAAAATGAAGGAAGCGGATATCCTTGTCATGCACCACAAACTGATTACTGACAAACAGGGCAAAAGTGTGAGAAAGGTGGGCAAATATATACATTATATTAAAACAAAAAACAGGGGAATTATTGAACATCAATTTCGGCAATTTCGAAAACTGACGGATTCTAGGAACATCACGGTAAATAAAACGCTTTTGGTGGTGTTATCTTGAATTTTCATTTAATTTGATGTGGAAAAGTGGTATTTGGAAGATTTAAAATTTAAAGCCATGCGCAAAAATGCAAATGGAGAGTTAATGAACGACACTCAATCCGCTGACCTCCCTCCCGCGTCTACCGAGAGAATGTTCTGCTGGGTGGGTGTTTTGGAGATGCAATCTTCTAGCGCATTTTAAAAACCACACAAGGGGCTCACGAGTGGCACTCTCAGATACCAAAAGCCTGTCCATCATGCGAAAAGTGGTGAATCAATATAACCTCAAGTAAACATGGGTGTTGGGTGTGATAACCATATATTTCTTCGGCTAGCTAAATCAAACCGTGTTTCTGAGTTAGCGTAGCCGAAGATCTAGAGCTCTGGATGAAAGTGTTAGAATACGCCTATTGCATGATTTTAACCGAAACAACTGTTCAATTATACGTTATTGCTTTCCTGATGACTATTAGGTTTCAAGCTACTACCGTTAGCATGATATTTTTTCCATTTCATTTGTGTTCGTTCTGTGCTTCTCTATACGGCATTTCTTTCTATGTAAGGGATTTTATCTGACTTGCAAACATGTGGAACATGCCGAATCCACCGTGGTTTCAATATGTAGCAATCACTGCCGTTGGTGCGCCAAACCAAAAGTTAAACAGCTTCCGTTGTACTGTAGCATTCAGTGTGTTTGACTCTTTTTAAAGAAATGATTCTGGTACAAACTGACATTTAAAACGGTAGGTTGTATTACCTTTATCAAAGTTATGTATACCGCTCTTCTTACATTCTGAAATTTGGGTATTTGGCTTTATACAGCAGCAACGAGTTTGGTTGTCTTGTGTACAAACCACATTCCGTTTTTGTTTGACCATCCTCTACTTATGTAAATTTTGATTGGGAATAATTTTAAAGCTGTTTAAGGAATTAAGCGATTTCTCGCCACATGTATGATGAAAAACTCAATGTTCAAAAATGCCAGACAGCATAACGAATATAAATTGCAGTGAAATAAAAAAGCAAGTAGAGGAAACCAGAACACCAAAAAATGTAAGCTTGCTGTTGTAGCTACAATGCTTCTCGCCCAGTTATTATGTTACCAGCTTAATAGATTTCCAATTCTATCCGTTTCAATTACGATTAGCACAACAACATATCTGTTGAAATAATAAAACTACTTGTACGTTTCTTTGGTCTTTGTATAACAAACTATAAACAGCAGTCTACACTTAAACTTTTATTTGCTATGGCCTCAAGTGGTGCCCACTAAGTACTTTTATTTCACGTTCGTTTCATATTGGGATCATAAGGCATTGTATAAAGTAGCTTCCCCATTGATACGTACGGCATACATTCCTGTTTTTCAACAAATCGATTGACAGACAGCATATCCTCTAAAACACTTGTAATTATTTCCATTTCCTGATCTAGAAAAATCAGCAGATCACTTGTTTACTCAATCGAGTCATTGGTAATTGCTTGGTCACATCAGATTCACAAGGCTCTCCTCAAAGATTCCGCAAAACCTCTACTGGACAACCTCCACCCGAATCCTCTTGTGGAAATTGACTTCTGGAAAGCCAAGGCTGCCGACCTGCTGAACATCTTTGAGCAGCTCAATGCTTCAAAAGTGCGTCAAATGGCGAAAATTTTGGAGCAAGCCAATAGCAGCTATTTTTTACCTTTCAAAGATATGTTCAAATCTGTGGTCGCCGGTG